TAATATTTTTGTTTGATTTTTATTTTTATTTAAATTATTTTCCTTCAAAGCAAAACTTATTTACTTCGTGGCATTTGATCAGATTAAAGGCGACATGAGATTTTGTGAGTAATTCATCAAAACTTAGTGGCTTTCTGTTGAAATTAAAATATTATTATAAAGTCTTTTTAAATAATTTCATTTCTTAAAAAAATTCATTTATTACTTTTCAAAACAACTGATCAAGATCAAGATCACTGATCATGTAGTTGGAGATACTTGAAACAGCTGTGTGGCTCGCCAAAAATTCAGTTAATTAATAAATAATAATATTTTATTGCTAAATGTTTAAAAATCTCAGTTAAGTGGATAAGCGAATATAATATCTAGTCTTACTCTTTAACCATGATGGTTTAGTCTTACTGTATACCGATGTTAATTAATTTACCTAACTAATGTAGTGGGCGAATTGAACGCAGCAATTATGTCGATTATATATGATTATACTTCATAGTTTGTTATCAAAATTACTTGTTTAATTATTATAACTAACAATAGTAATAAGAAGATCTATTGTTATTGTTGAAATATTTTTGTGTTATATATACAGCCAAACATCTCTATAACTAACTCGTTGATGCCCGGAAAAAACTTCGTCATAGAGAGGTTAAACTAATTTTTTTTTGTTTGCCATTTTTTTGGGTTTTGTTAAGAAATATATGTGAATATATTTTAAAAATGTATTTAATTCATGTTTGTTTATATAAAAATATATAACATTAAAAATATTAATCATATATTCGTTTGTATTTAAAAAAATTTATTTTATTAATTACTATTTAATTTATTATTATTTTTAATTTAAATTTAAAAAAAAGTCTATAATTTTTGCTTGTTTGGACATTTTAACTTTTTGTAAGCGATTCCGCAAATATACGTGCTAGTTAGTCTAGTCTTCATTTTGTTCATGATCTTGGTGTTCCTCAACTGAATCTATAAACATTAAAATTATATTGTTATAATGTTAGATTAATTAATCTATTGTTTCTATCAAGATTTTTTTTTTACCTTTGACATAGTAATAATTTTCATTAATGCTTTTTATAATATCTTCATCCGTTGTATGGACCATGATGACTGTATCATTATCAACATTTATAAAATCGTCTAAAGGTACATCGTTTATATCAATGATGCATCTCGACACTAGTTCTTTTTAGCAAATGCAATCTTCCGTGAAAACATTATCCTTCCCTATTATAAACCGAATAGCATATACCTATGAAAGCTCATACTGAGTATGACACAGCTGGCATAGAAAGGAGTTTCTCTTAAGTTAAAATAATTAATGTTGGCTAACAAGTAATTTCTATTGACATTTTTCTTAAACAATTAATATAAATAAAATATTAATTAAAAATATTAATTTTTAATAAAACGATAATGGAATGAAAAAACATTATAGTGTTAGCGATTTTAAAATTTAATTTAGCACTTAAGCTTAAGCTAACTTAATTATCTTTTTTTCGACAAAAATAGAAATAGGAAAATGGGTCTTTTCCACTGTGATCACCTGTTACACTAATACGTATATCTATAATATTTTTCCACATTTTTTTAGAATCCTATATCAGCTCTATTTCGTAGTTTTAAAATCCAAAATTGATTGCAACTTACATATTCAGAAAGTTTTCAGCTAGTTCGATTGGGTTGTCACTTTAACCACTCTACTATACATCTATATGTAGTTACATATAATATAACTATATCATATATATCTTGTTGAATTTTGTATTTTTGTTCCTTCAAAAGAAGTTTTGAACTTTTCAAAAATGTGGTGATGTTTTGCAATATAACCCTTCTGGAGATACCTGTGGTGTTTTAAAATTGTATAGAGTAAACTAAGACTAGTCTAGTACGTAGAATCTTTTTCAATAAACTTTATTGAACATTTGGTCCAAGCAACTAAACTACATATTTTTTATAGACCAGCCTTTTTGCTTCTATTTGTCCAAGTTTCATAGGTACATTTATTTTATTTGGATGTAACTTTTTAAGAAATAAATTTAAAGAAAATCAATTTAATTTTAATGTTTTAAGCAACAATACAAATGCAAAAATAATTTTGCAATACAAGAATTTTGATGTGTGTATCTTAAGAGTATACAAATATCCCAATGAAAATGTCGTGTATATTCAAATATCATATATAAATACACGACCTATTTCTTTCAAATAATACGAGTATTGTGTCATAAACTTTTTATAATTCAGATCAATATTTTTTAATGAAAAGTAGTGAATAGCAACAATGAAATATTGTTTTTATTTGAATTATTGACTGATCACACAGCAGTTTCGAATGTTTCCATATAGCTATTGGCGATAGTTTTCAAAAATATTTCTTGGATTATTATTAAAACCTTTTGTTAATACCTTGCCAACTTTGAAACGCTAGTCACAGTTATTAGCTAAATGAATGAACATATTTCACTTGAATGAAAGTACTAACCACAGGTATACATAATTAAATTAATTATTAAAATTTATAGAAGGATTTCAGCACACTTCTTTGTAGAGATATTATTTTTTATATATAATTTTACTTTCTCACGCATGCATATCTATTTGTCCATATCATCTATGAAATTTTTTTAATATCCATACAGTTTTTAATTTGATTTTTCTAAAAATAAAATTTTTATTTGAAATCTTATAATTGTATCATTTACCTATATGGAAATCAAATACAAAACTAGATGAGTTTGTATGATATATTGTAAAATTATAAGATATTACCCATATACATGTTTCACAATTTTAGGGTAAACTATGGTCTTATGTGGAGGTTTTTCCGAGTTAGTGCAACTGGGCACTTTTATTCATTGTTAGCTGGGGGCTTTCTACAGAGTCCTTCCTTTCTCTTTGACTAATTTACATAATTCATTACAAGCTTCGCAGATTATTCGATGACTGATTTAAGATGTGCATACCGCCCCGTACGGCTAGTGATTGCTCTGAGATTAGATAGTGCTATGTAGGGCAGCCTGTTAGTTTTCGCGTATAGATTCATGGCTCTGTTCATTATGTATTTTTTGACCGGGTTTAATCTGCAGTATTTCATTTCGTCCATGACATTTTGAAGAGTCTTTGGAGAGCCTGACTTTGAGTAACTTGTAGCTTCTGAATAATACAGTTGACAGCTTTGCTATACGTGACCCACCCGTAGAGAAGTGCAACTTTGATTATCTGGCTGTAGATCAAGTTTCTGTTTATAACTCTAAGGTTATTATGTTCAAAAAGTAGCCGTAAGCAAAGCAGTGTTGTCGCACAACTACTTCTTTTGTCTTGTATGTGCTTCCCAGGTATTTGATGCTGTCTTCCCAATTTATAGCAATGTCATCATTCGGTGACATTATAACACTCTCACATTCGGTGGATGCTGCCTGCGTTTACAAGTTATAAACAGGGCTTTGAAGTATTTATATATGACATTCTCGATATATATAATATATATATTATACATGCCTATATTTATTTTCTTAAACTTATTGCGTTACGGAAATGTTGAAATAACAGTCTTGTTATTTATTATTTTATTTTATATAATTTAAACTGATTTAAAAAAATTTAAATTGAAAAATTTGAAAAATTTAATATTTGAAAATAGTGACAAATAAAGATATTAATTAAATATAAAAAAATTGTTTTATTGATGTTCTAGATAGAATTTTTTTTTGGTTCTATTCGAAACAAATCAAGCGAAAAAGAAACAAAAACTTTCACTTCTAAAAATGTGTTAAGAAATAACTGAAGTGCATTCAGACGTTCATCACATAATCACTTTACCGAAAACCGACTTATAGTCTTGACTTATAGTCAAGTAAGGTTACTGAGGAACAATAATTTGCATAGTAAAAAGAGCTGAAACCGGTTTTACAATGAATTGTTTTGTTGTGTCTTCCTTTACTAAAATTTCTTTTAACGCCCATGTCTAAATACCTTATAAATTTGTAGTCCAGTAATATATCATGGGAATGCATTGACAAGCTGAACACACTCGGTGGGATCAATCAGGTGCACCTTTTATGGATTCCGGGACATACTGGTATCCAAGGTAATGAAATGGCAGACAAACTTGCAAGAAGAGGCGCGGCATCAAGAATGATAGGCCCAGAACCATTTTGTGGTCTAGGCAAAGGAGTTCTATCCATTATCATGAATGACGCAGAGAAAAAAGAGAGAGAACTCTATTGGTTAATGCTACCAAGACTCTCACAATCTAAAATGCTTTTAGGGACTTGCAACCTAAAACGCTTTAAAGATTACATAGTACAATCAAAAACTAACATAAGAATTATTTACTGACCGGATTACTGACCGGTCACTGCAGATTGAATAATCACCTATCGAAGTTAGGAATTCAATCCAACTCAGACTGCAGATACTGCAGGGAAGAGAGAGAAACGGCATACCATGTGCTTGGGGAGTGCCCGGCACTGATGCATAAGCGAAAGAAACACCTAGGAGGGTATTTCATGGATCATAAGGATTCAAGACTGGGGAAGATAGGATCCATACTGTCTTTCATTAAAGAAATCGGACTTGGAAAATACTCTAACCCGACAAAGGGGCACAATAGATCTTTTAGGTCGCAGTGCACGATCCCTTACTCAATAA